TAGCCTATTTTTCCTTTTTATTGAATGTATTGGGGTGACACTGATTAACAAAATTATACAGGTTTCAGGTGCACAGTTTTTTGAACAAGCCATACTTTAACCATTACCCTACTGCTGGACATTTAGATTGCGTTTTGTGATTATAAATTACATAAACCTACTATGAACCTTTTGTGTTTAAAGAATTTTTCCATTTCTTAGACATTAAAAGAGATTCTTGGACATGGGATTACTGTGTCAAGGTTTATTGTATTAAGACATTTGGCTACAAGTGATACAAACTCAACTCAAACTGGCTTAAGCAAATTAAGACAAATTATTGGCTGATGTATTTGAAAAAATGCAGGGGATGAACTTCAGGTCGGGCTGATTCCGGAGGCTCAGCCCATGTCATCAGTGGTCTGGTTTGTGTCTCATATCTTTAATATCTGCTTTCCTCTGCGTTGGCTTTATTCTCAGGCAGCCTCTTCCCATTGAGGGCAAAATTGCTACCTGAAGCTCTGTTTTTATCCTACCAACTGTAGCTACACTTTCTTTTTAGAAAGACATCCATTCTCAATATTTTCAGCAAAAACTCAGGACTGATTCTCTTGGGCTCAGGTTGAATTGTGCCACCTCTGAATCACTCACTTTGGCCATAGGACAAGGATACACTAGAGCAGCGGTTCTCAACCTGTGGGTCGCGACCTTTTTGAGGGTCGAACGACCCTTTCACAGGGGTCACCTAAGACCATCAGAAAACACATATATAATTACATATTGTTTTTGTGATTAATCACTATGCTTTAATTATGTTCAATTTGTAACAATGAAAATATATCCTACATATCAGATATTTACATTACGACTCATAACAGTAGCAAAATTACAGTTATGAAGTAGCAACGAAAATAATTTTATGGTTGGGGGTCACCACAACATGAGGAACTGTATTAAAGGGTCGCGGGATTAGGAAGGTTGAGAACCACTGCATTGGAGCGTGGAGAATGATGTCATCCACCAAAGCACACAGTCTGAGGTGGGGGAGGTGCTATTTCCCAGACACTCAGGGCGCTCTGACCCAAATGGGGAACAGGCATCGGGCAGGTCTCAAGCTACAGATCTTTATTTTACTTATGAACAGTTTATGGACTTTGTGTCTTAGTGAGAGAGAGAGAGAGAGAGAGAGAGAGAGAGAGAGAGAGAGGGCTCAGAAGCAAGAGGAGCCCAAACACATCCTAAGCACACACTTTCGGGTGCATAGGACCAGCCTGATCAGACGGCAGTCAACCTCTACTCTCACCACTGAGTGATAAGAGGCAGGAGACCCAGCCTGGGCTCCCTGGGAATGAGGCTCCAATGGCCTGTAATCGCAAGCCTCGGAGGCTGGTGATGGCCACCGGCTCCCTAAGTGCATGTTTAAGTTATGAGCAACGAAGGCAAGTTCTAAATGTGAGGAGCAATATACAGATCTTGTAACATAGAAAGCCATGCCTGAAACCTTTATGTTCATGTTGACCAATGCCGCCCCAATACATTTAATAATAATAGTAAAAGATATGAAAATAAAAAAATGTGAGGAGCAGAAACGTCCTTGCAAATTTCCCCAGGGGATTCTGCCAGCAGCGCCGCCCAGCTGACTGGGAGGCTGCTGACAGTCGGCGCTCATTGCAGAGCAGCTGCGGTGTTTGTTAAGCAGGCCCCGCACTGAGTGCTGACAGCCACCGCGACTTCATTATCCTCGGCCCTCTGGCCCCTGCCTCCACCCGGGGCAGTTTTCATAAGAGAGCTCCACTCACGGCCACCCAGTTGCCTGTCTCTCCACAGACCTTGCAGCATAATTGTCTGTTGGCCACTGTTAAATGCCAGCCTGCCCTACAGGCACTGCTGGACTTCTGTCAGACCCCGGAGCCATGGTGGCTTTCAGCTGCCCTTGGCCAAGTACCTGTGGGGCTCCAGGGGCACCTATCTGGTCATCTCTGCCTTGGTGTGTCCTTCTGGCCTGGCTAGGCCTGCTGATCTCTAAGCGGAACCCATGCTCAGCGGGAGGGAAATGGGAAGCATCCTGATGAACACCTCATGGTTTGCTCTCTTTCTGTGGGAGAGGGGCTGTCTGAACCAGCCCTTTCTTTTGAGTCCATCCTTACCCCAGAATGGGGATGTGTCACATCCAGCTGCAGGCCAGGAAAAAACAACCCATGACTTTCCATGCTTCAGAAAGTCCTGGAAGGCACCGACCTCTTCCATTCGGTCCTGTGGTAGTGACCATTGGCTGCTGTTTCATTGTGGGGACTAGGAAGGTGCTCACAGAGGGAGGCTGCCTGAGCCAGGGCCATGGGCGTGCCCTTGTGCACCCAGGGGTCTCCATGCCATTTTCTCCCTTTCCACCTCACCCGGGACACTTGGTGAAGCCAATCTATACTAATAAAAGACAAACATGCAAATTGACCATACCTTCGCTACACCTTAAGCCACGCCCACCAGCCAATCAGAGTGGCTATATGCAAGTTACCCCAATCAAGATGGTGGTTAACTTGCATATACCAGCTGGGAGCGAAGACTGAAGACAACGTGGAAGCGAAGCACTACAGAAGGGAGCAAAGTAGAGGTGGCGGAGACAGGAATGGAGCCAAGGGTGCGGATGCAGGAGGCGGGAGGGGAAACCCAGCTGGAGCGGCTGGGAGCAGGAGGGGAAACCCGCCGCAGTGGCTGGGAGTGGGAGCGAAGCCTGCCTCAGCGGGTTTCGCTCCCTTCTCTGCTTTGCTCCAGCCTCAGGAAGCCCTATTCTTGCAGAAATCTTCCTGCAACAGGCCTCTAGTTTATAAATAAATGATTCATGATCATCCTTCCTTTCTCTGCGGGACTGGGGTTAACCTGGAGCCTTCTTGCTCTGCGGGACTGGGGTTAACCTGGAGCCTTCTTGCTCTCATGTGCTTTGGTGCACGTGGTAGAGCGGTGTGAGCATTCCATTGGGCAAGCGGAACTCTCACACAGACATGACTCTCCAGCATACTTCTCTGAGTGGTTGAAAACATGCTTATTGCCCCTGGCTGCGTCAGGGAAAGAGACTCTACCATTCAACAACCAGCTCATTTGTTGGAGTCCAGAGACTCTGAAACCTGGGTCCTTGTTTTCTCTGTATAACCGAGTGGGTGTGCACCTCCGAAGTCTCCAGCCCACTGTAGACATGTGTGGTGTCACCAGATAACTCAGTTCAACTTTTAGAGTGATGGTGCACTGCCTGGGTGCAGGTGAGGGAGTGCTCTTCTGGCTGTGCCCTCCATGCGGTGGGGCCCAGGCGAGCAGTGCAGGCGGAGACAGAGCAGGAGCTCCACAGGCGGCTCTTCCTCATCCATTGTGTACGCCCAGCATCTGTGGAAGATGCTATAGATGTTCAAAAGGTTCCCACTGCTGATAAACGAGTAACTGAGAAAAAAAAGCACAGAACGTAGTTGTTCCAAAACAGGTTGTAAAGGAAAAACCAGATACTCATTTTGACTTGTTTCTATAAGAGTCAGTTAACAGTTTAATGAACAGTACTGAGCTCCTGCTGCCGGCGGGGGGGGGGGGGGCGCTCAGTGTCCCGCCGGGCATCTGGGTGCTCAGGGCGACCCCCTGAGGGGTCTGCTGCCTGTTGCGCACATGCCCACATGGCCTGTAGATTGAGCTCTTCAGGAAGGTCTGGTGCCCCTGGCACTGCCCCTCTGTTGCCTGTGGGAGTTACTGTTGGTCACTGCACGCACCTGCCTCTGCCCTTCTCTCTGTGCCAGCACGCGCACCAGCAGGGACAACTGGAGCAGCCCCTGTCAGAAGCAAAGAGGGTCAGGAATGTAATGGGTGGCACTCCACAGCCCGAGGACTGGGAGGTGGCCGAGTCTCAGAAAGGGCTTGGGAACTGTACCCCTGCTTCTCTCTCTGCTCCTCAGTCCTGATGGCAAACCATGGCCAACCCCAGTTCCAGTGATTGCAAGTTTCAATTCCTGCAACATCACTTAACCAACTACTAGACTCTCTCCGTCTCAATTCCTGACTCACAATGAAATAAGCTTGCTTCACATTGGGTCAGGCGACCCCTTGTGCTCGGGGCAGGGGTACGAAGAAGAGCAGGGCTGTCCAGGACTCATTTTTGGCCTTATGGGTGGACCAGAGAGCGGGTCCCGAGAAGGGACACGTGATGAGCTGAGTGGGACAGTGACCTCTGTGTCCTACACCCGCACCTCTCTTACTCCCCGGTGAGCACTTGCAATGCCTGGGCCAGGCAGTCCACGCCACAGCTCTGCTGACCCATCGGGTAGTGTTTCATTTTCGTTGGAGGGTGGACTTATGCTTGTTAAATATCGAGAACTGCCTTTATTAAGTTAAATTGAGACCAGTCTTTGAAGCTGAACATTGGTTGGGCAGAGAACAGATCATAGAACTTGGCAAAAGTGCTACCTAATTGATTTACCGCCCCCCCAAAAAAAGGTTGACTTTTGAATGCGGATAAATGCTTTAAAATTTATTATTACGTCTACATTTGTAGACACCTGTCACTTAAGATCATTTGTTGTTTTCCCAAGCAGTTTTGTTGAGGTCTACACTAGATTTAAACTCTGATGGGCAAGGGCACGTGCATGGGGAAACCACCAGTTACTTTATTGGGGGAACAGTTTGGGTGATTGCACTTTTACTTTGAAAGTTTAATATAGTCCCCAGCTCTCTATCCCAGTTGCCAAATTCTCCAAGTCTCAGTGGTCGTTTGACTGACAACTGCTTAAGCATTTTCACTCTGAAACTGGCCCCTGGGCACTCAGAGCACACTGGGAGGGACGCCATTGCAGGCGGAGTCTGAAGTCTCTTCTCACTCTTTGCACTTTTTAGTTCTCGGAGTTTACAGCCACCGTTAACTTTTAACTTTATTCTCTTGGAACTTTTCCATTGATGTTTAAAAGGGCAGATCAAATGTGTTAATATACTCATGAATGAGAGAACATATCCATGAGGTCTTGAAATATTCTGAATAATATTTTCTTTCTTTTTAGCTGTCTCCGTTATGAGGTACAGCGCCTCTGCTTTTGGGTTTGCAGTAAGTAACCTGAAATGTACTTTTATGGAGTTGTGCACGTTTTTCCTGAGCCCACGGGTCTCACCTGGGCTCTCAAGGAGAGGCTGGTTAGCAGATGAAGCTTCGCATGACAAGCTCACCGTCTATGGAGATCGCTTCTAGGCGGATTAGCATTCAGCAGAAGTGAACTGCAAGGAAGCTGCATAATCCTGCAGAACAGAGAGGGGACCGCATTTCCCACAGCTGGTTGCGAGGGTGTTTTAGGGTGTTAGCCCTTTCCCCCCAAGGCTGTCAGTTGGACAATGGCACACGTGGGAGCGAAGGCTTTGCTGTGCAGGCCGAGGTGTGGGCGTCAGGGGCTGCTGCTGCTAGGATCAGTCCGCCTGCAGCCGGACCCGGGGAGCCTGACCCCCGCCTGCTTCCTCATGGGAGCTGCTGAGAGAAAATGGAGAGAAAACAGTCTCAGGTGTTTCATGGGCTGGGCATGCCGAGCACTGGGTGGAGCTGCCCATGTCCCCTCCGGGTGCTTGTAACTTTCCAGGTGAGATGGGTGCTGAGGCACAGTGACCCTAGGAGAGCGCTTGTAAACACCCCTCCTGCGCAGCTGTGGGTTCCCTGTGCCGCAGGGTAGGTGTTCCTGCCCACAAACCCACTTCTTCCTTTTGTTGTGAAAACTTAAGGTTTTTGGGGTTGCAGACCTTTTCAGAATCTTTAGAAGGAGTGCACTGTCTGTCCCGAAATACACACACACCACATACATGCACACACAACACACAACACACATACACACACGCACAACACATTCTCACACAAAACATACACAACACACACACGTGCACACACATATTCTCACTGTCGTTCTTACAGGGCTCTCTTCCTCTTCCTTCACCTCCCTCTCTCCTCCCTCACACACTCACTCATTCATTCAAACAAAAGCACTGAATTGTATAGACAATTTCAAAGTGTTTGCAGACAGCACAGGGCCCTTGGGTGACCACCCTCCCCCTGGCCCCCATTAGAATAATCCCATTGAAAGCCAGAAACAGATTCCTCACCCCGAATATTGTACTTGGGTTACACAGTGAAATGCTGAGATGATCTTGCTTGCTGTGTGGAAACCAATTTCAGGGGTCAGACCCGTGTGATCCCCCATATCTGCAGAATGCTGGCAGCCAGGCCCCGGGGACAGACCCACCACGCCATGGAGCGTGTTTCCCAGGTCCAGGGAGCAGTGCGAAATCTGAGGAGGAAGAGCTGGCGTGTGGGGTGCCCAGGCCCACTGTTGGCTCTGAGGTCACTTGCTCAGATGTTCTGAGTCACAGAATCGTTGCTTTGTGTCTTCAGCCTTGTCCTGTTAACTCAGGAAAAGCACTAATGCCATGTCTCCTTCTCCTAGTTTGATGCCGTCCTCGATGTCCTGTCGTCGGCGATCGTCCTGTGGCGCTACAGCAACGCGGCCGCCGTGCACTCTGCCCACAGGGAGTACCTGTAAGTGCACTTCGCCTTCCTCCGGGCTGCAGCGCCCGTGCAGTGAGGCTGCAGCACAGCTTACCCTGCAGCTTTGGTCCCGGTGACAAGAATAAGGTCCCGATTTGCCTTTGAGAATGGCTGGCTGGTGTGATGTCAGCCATTTGATGGGCCCCTCTGCAGTGGTCAGTGAGATGGATGTTCCTTTATAATACTCCCTGCTTTTGAGTTTGGAGTGAACATTTGTGTGCTCACTTGACTGTCTATCCATCCATCGATTTGTCCATCTGACTATCTTTCCATCCTCTTTCTCTTGTGTTATTGGATTCTTTGCTCCCTTGAATTGTCACACTTTTGTCTTCTTTTCTGAGTACAATGAGTTCCCCAGGGTGATTTCCAGAAGACGTCTTGAGGGCATTATAACTTACTCTACTTGTCTGCCTAACGTCTTATCAGAGGATATTGCTTGCCTCAGTCTCCGTGTCCTGCGGGGGATAGTGTTGACTTTGAGGGATTTGTGTTTGTGGCCATAAAACGTGTGTCTTTCCCAGCTTCCATTTCTTTATCCCATTTGGAATCTTCAGGGCGACAACAGCACGGGTTCCAGAGTGAGCTTTCTTGGCTTTGAATCTCAGCTCCCCCACGTGTTACCGCTGTGACTGTGGGAAACTACTAACTGCCCTGTGCCTCGTTTCCGCATCCAGAAAAGCAGCAAAACAATACCTTCTTCATTAGGGTTATTGTGACAACTATATGAGTGAGAGATAATCATAATAGTATGGCACACGCACACATACACACACACACATGCATGCACACACATGCACACACACATGCATGCACATACGCACACGCACGCACGCACACACACACATACACTCACACGCTTTGGAACAGTGCTTGGCATGTAGTTCAGTAAACCTTAGCTGCCACAATTATTAATTATAAGGGTTCTCCCCTGAGCCTGAGCCCCACTGGTCATTAGGGCAAGGGTCTTACCCCACCTCGGCAGGTTTTGAGCAGCTGAGTCACAGGAATGAGGGCCCTGGCTGTGGTTTGTGACGGTTCCCAGACGAAAGGTACTCTTGGTAGGGATGCTCTGTCAGACTCAAACATGCAAAGGTTGGGGTCCGAATGGTGGGTGCCGGGAGACTCGGAAAGTAATCATCTCACATCCCACGTGCCAAACGGGAAGCTTTGGAGAGATGACACCATGACTGATTCGCTAATGAGAATGACTTTTAGTTTAGTTCATTGTTGGCTTTAGGTGGAGCACAAAACGTCTTTTAAGTGTTAAATACTTATTGTGTTTTACCTTTTTCAACAAATATAATTAAAAATGGTCAAATTTGTGACATCACAGATGACATTGCTTAGGGTAAGGTTAATTTTGTAAAAGGTGAGTCCATCTGTGGTTGAAAAAATTTAAGGAAACAATGGTAGTAAACTGATTTTGTAAAATTTCAAATGTTGGTGCCTTAAGGACCACAGTTGAACTAACGCTGCTCTAGCCCGAGGAGCAGCTGTGTCCTCCCAGCTGTTGCTGGCTGTCACTGAGGGGGACCCTGGGAGCAGGCTGGAGAGCTGGAGAGTGCAGAAGCCTGGAGATATGCTCAGATGGCAAGAGCTAGTCCCTGTCCTGTCAGAACATATTTCTTTGTTCTGTGGTTGCACCGTCCAAGACAGTAGCCGCGCTTATTTGTGTCTCATACTGAGGGGTGTTGTAAGTATAAAATATGTACCACATTCCAAAGGTGTAGAAAGAAAAAAGAATGTCAACATTTTATTAATAATTTTAAAAATATGGATTATATTTTGATATAATTTCTCACCTAACTTGCTTATTTTTAATCTGATTTTATTTATGCTAAAATCAGTTTCTTACCTAGTAGTCATAAAGCTGCACATTGTTGTGGCTTTTCTATGGTGTTGGGATCTTGGTGACTGTTCGCCAGGTGGCCTGGAGTTTTTCCAAGATTAAGATTGATAACAAGAAATGTCTTTGGTTTCACTGTTTTTAATGATCCCAAAGCTGGTACTGTTTTTTTTTAAGAGGAAGGAACCATCAGGAAGTATTGTTTTATTTTTTTAAATATGTTTTTATTGATTGCAGAAAGGGGAAGGCAGAGGGAGAGATAGAAACATCAATGATGAGAGAGAATCACTGATTGGGTGCCTCCTGCACCCCCCTCCCATGGGGGACTGAGCCCAAACCCGGGCATGTGCCCTGACCAGGAATCCAATCTTGACCTCTCAGTTCACAGGTCGATGTTAAACCAGTGAGCCGCATAGCCAGGCCAAAGCAGATATGTGTACCTATATTAATACTCCAAAGGCAAAAACGAACAGAGGAGTTGTTTTGATAATTTCCAGATAGTGGTTCATGTGAGGATGCCAGGGAATTCATTCAGAGATTCTTAATCTAGGGATTGAAACGACACTCACAACCCTTTATTGTTGGCTTAGTTGAAAGTTTTAATCTCTGGCTCATTCCATGTAAATTAAAAATTCATGAAATCACTGCCAGCTGAGAAACTGATGTATCCATAGAAATGAGCATGAATGAATCATGAGAGGCAGAGCTAGGAAAGCTATTGGATTTCAGTTACTTGCTGGAGAATAATATTTGAGAGAATGGGGAAATACCCAACTGGTCCTTAGTTAATTCTTCTAATCTTTCCTACATTGACTCTAAGGTTCAGAGTGAATATCAGGCTTGGCATTGCCAGCGCAGGGAGAGTAGGCCGCGCCCTGGCCTGGCCACCTGCACACTGTGTGGGGCGGGGTGTTCGGTGCTCAGAGGAGAGGGTGTGCCCTTCAGCACCACTGAGTGGAGCCCACCCAACAGCTTTGTTCCGTGTTATACTCCGTTACTGTGGGAAAAACAACGTTAAATTTAGCATCTTAAGCAAAGGGCACAGTTCAGTAGCGTTAATATATTCACACTGTTGTGAACAGATCTCCAGAACCTTTTCATCGTGTAAAACTAAAACCCTGCACTCATTACACAACTCCCTGTTACCCTTTCCCCATCCCTTGGCAACCACCATTCCACTGTGTTTCTAGGGCTTTGACTCCTCTATGCACCTCATATAGAGGAATCGTGCAGTATCTGTCTGTTAGTGACTGGCCTGGTTCACTTAGCATAATGTCCTCAAGGTTCACCCACATTGTAGCGTGTGTCAGAATTCCTTTCCTTTTTCAGGCTCTATAATATTCCACTGTAGTTATGTATGTATATACCACATTTTGTCTATCCATTCATCTGTTGATGGACATTTGGGTGGCCTCCACTTCCGCTACTGTGAATAATATTGCTATGAACAAGGGTGTACCAGTATTTCTTCATGACCCCGCTTTCAATCCTTTCGGATATAGGCCCAGAAGTGGGATTGCTGGGTTAAATGATAGTACTACTTTTCATTTTTTGAGGAACCTCCGTACTATTTTCTATAGAAGTTACTCAATTTTTTAATCCTACCAATGTTATTTGTTTTAAAAATCTCCCAATTTGACTAGTCACCTTCTTGTGGGGAATATGTGTGTGGAGAGGGCAGGCCAGGTTTACCCAGGGTCAGGGTTTTCAACAGGTGAGTGAACTAGAGAGGGGAGAGGGAGGCAAGTGTATTTGTAAGGGAGGGATCCAAGAACGTGCCAGACTAGTCAAGCTGAGAACGGAGGCTGGGAGGACAATGCAAGGTTAGTGAATAGTCACCATGGATTAGAAGTCTTCTTGATCTTGAATGATTTGAGAGGGGGATGCTAAAAACCAGGACTTCACAGGTGGCTCATTTGCTTGCGTGGCCTTAGGGTGGGAGTGAGTGGCTGAGGTGGGGTGAGGACAGAAGGTCAGGGACATGTGTGAGGCCAGGCGTTGGCTGGATGCTCCACGTGGGACTGAGGGGATGTTTGCAGAATTTAGGGAGGAGACAAAGGGCATGAGGTAGGTGCTGACATCCTCAGTGAATGAAGGACAGGGTCAGGGGGGTGGGGGCAACAATAGGAGGAGGAGTGGGTGGTTTAGTCTGCAGGTACCTGGGAGTGTTGAGGGAGAAAGCCAGAGAAACTGGTTTGGAATTCACCGGGAGGAAGACGGGAAGAGTCGGAAAAGAGTATGAGGGTGGGAGACTGGGAGGAGCATGAAAGTGTTTGGGCACCACACAGGGGGACACAGGCGTGGAGCATGGTTATAAGGCAGGAGTGGTGGCGGTTGTCCCGGTGACGGGATTGCTGGAGGACACTCAGAAGAATGAAGCACTATGTGTGCACTTGTATTGTGATCTCCAAGGTTCATTCAGTGAGGAAAGCATGGGGCAAAATGGTGTTTAGGGTCTTATTTGTTTTAGTAAAAGAGATTTCCAGCACTTGTGTAGACAGAAAAGCATCTCTGTAGGGACACAAAGGAGACTGGCAGCAGGATCGCCTCTGGGAAGAGGTCTAGGGACGGACAACGGAGGCAGGCGCTGCCTTTATCGCTTCCAGACCAGAGCTGACCAGTAGAGCTCTCTGGGGCGATGGGTCTGTCCTCTGCACTGTCCAGTGGGGTAGCCATTAGCCACAGGCGGCCTCTGAGTACTTGACATGTAGCTAGCTAGAGTGTCTAAAGAACTGGATTTTTAACTTTATTTAATTTTAATTAATTTAAATAAAAAGATCACATGTGGCTGGTGGCTACCATATTGGACAATGACTCTTTAGAGAGCTTGATCATTTTTAATCTATTTAAAAAACAGATAAAGTTATTAATAAATCAAAGCCCAGGGAATTTGGAAATGTGAGAAAGATATTGAAGGAATAAAGCAGCGACCTGAGCGGGAGGGTGTGGGAGAAATCAGTGTAGGAGGAACTTGGCAAGGCTCACTGACGCAGGGAATTGCACACCGGTCTCAGGCATCTTCAGCCCTGGGTACCGTGTCAGGCCACAGGAAATACAGCCTCCTGCTGCCGTCAGCTGCGGAGGGCCATCTGGGTGCTTGCCACAGAAGGTACAGATTGACGCCCGTCTGGCCTCTGACATTTTACATATGATTGCAGCACAGG